TGTGAAAGTGAGAAAATCCTTTGATAGAGGACGTGGGTTTCAGTTTAGTGAATTTGCGTTTTCTACTGAGTGAATGTGTAATTGCTTAATGGTTTCAATAATTATATATTTTCTTGTAGGTTAAGCGATTGGCAATGTATTATAGCGGTTTTGCTATAAAGGCAACAGTTGGCTCTATAGCAAAACCGTGTATTATATTGCCTTTTTTTTTCTTAAAAAAAAATTGTTCATTAAATGGTTTTGGGTTGCACGGTAATTTCTAATTTGTATAATAAAAACATATCCGATTGGTGTGTAAATGTTTGTATTGTTTAATGGTTTGTGTAAATATTTTTAGTTTTGTGCAAAAACTTATGTGAGAGGATTGAATTTAGTATCATGTATTTAAAAAAATTAATCTGCAATTTATTAAATGGTTTTTGTAGTTAGTTGTTTTATAAACTCTTTGTGTACGAGGCATTACGTAATTTAGCACGTTATAAAACGGTAAAAGAGTTGACAAGATTTCTGGATCCCAAGTCCAATCATTTTAAAATGGACATACCATATTGGGCTTCTACAAAGACCTTTTCCAAAGTCCAGGCCCATATATTAATAAGCGGTACATAAGTGTGGACTCCCGAATTGAAGAGCTTCACCGTCGTTCTTTGCTGATTAGGGTTTCTTGCTGCTGCCTCACTCGTTCACGGACGCTCCCAAGCTAACATCCATGGCGGCGGAACAGGTTCTATTCTGATCCATCCACTTCGAATTGATCACTGTAAATCTACCTTTTTTATTTATCCTTTTTATATGAAGAACTCTGTCTATCATCTCTCTTCTCGTAAACCCTAATTTCTGATACTCCTGACTGCTTCACGCAGAGGCATCTCACGTCTATGTTGGGGAAAATGTTTGTCACTGTATATTTCACTGTCTTCACTATATCATAATTCTTGTAATGAACAAAAAGATTCGATGAGTGCAGAATGTGAGGTGAAAACAAGATGAATATTGGAGTCATTGTGCTTATTTCTGTGTTGGGGGTGGGTGTGTATTTCAGTATCTCGATTGATCCGTGTTTTTCATTATAGGTGATGTAATCTGATTTTTGAATGATACTGTATATGCATTTCTTTATGATTTTGTTTTTCTTAATTTTGCAGTATAATTATGTGTGATTGTATTGTTGTAAATTAGTGATTAGTTAGTGAAAAAGGAGTTCAACGGAAAAAAATCTCTTTATATGTATATATACATATCTATGTAATATTCTTATTTTCATTAAGTGCTAAAATTGCTATATTTACTAAACAATTGCCCCAACATATATATATCATCACTGTCTTTAGCTTTTATCATTTATTTTCATTATTTACAAGAAATATATCTGATGGTGATCTAAATATTTCATAATTGAATTGAATTGCAGACAGAAAAGGCATTCTTGAAGCAGCCCAAGGTCTTCCTTTGGTAAGAGAATGCTTATGCGTTGTTAATTCTGTGAATGTGGTAATCTTATTAAACCTGAGGTACGCTTGGCTGTTGAGGTGCTGGAATATGTTATGCATATGCTCATCTTTCTTTAATGATTGTTGTCGAAGAGTTTTTTTTATTTTGTTTATATCTGCAACAAAATGCTGGTTATCAGAGAAATATATGTATCATTTTTAATCATCTCAGACATGTTGCCATTTTTTTTTTCTTTCATTATATTAATAGCTCCAAGAAATCTGGGAAAGGAAAAGCTCCTGGAAAAGGAGGAAACCGTTACTGGAAGAGCATTGGATTGGGTTTTAAAACACCACGAGAAGCCATTGAAGGTCCAACTCTATAATTATATTAGATTTGATTCGTTTTTTTTATATGCAATGTTGTCATCCTCAGAAAGTAGTGCCGCACTTGTGGTTCTACTTAGTTTGGAGTAATTTGGCTCAGTAACTCATATATATTCTCTACATGTGTTATTGGAAGTGGCGCCCGATTCACATGACCCTCATGTAACCATGTTTCAATTCCAAAACTTCAAAATTCCAGTATATATTTGCACTATACGCTATATGTTATTCCCATACGATCCTACTTTATTATGACTCTGGAGCCCACTGAGGCTACTAAATAGGTCTTTGCCTTTGGCTTAATGAAACTAAATGAATATATCGATGCACACAAGTAATATACTGATTTCAGATTTTTGGAATGGATTGGGTTTGTAAAAGCAAGATTTTTGTGTCCAACTTGTTGTACCATATTAGACAGTCAAGCAGGAGAACTATTTTCGTGGTGTTTTCTTGACCAAGTGTGCGGGGAT